CTAAACTCTCTTTACTACACCCCACCACCCTACCTTACCTCTTCTACCTACAACACTTTTATCTAACCTTACGTTCCTTAACATACACCCCCCTAATCCTACCTTAACATCCTTACCTACACCCCCCTCATCCCACCGAAGCCTCCTTAATTACACCCCTAATCCCAACTAACCTCCCTTACCTACACCGCCCTTATGTGACATTACCTTCCTTCCCACCTAACCTACCCTTTTGGACCCCCTTCATCCTACCTTACCTCCCTAACCTACACCCACTCATCTCAACTCACCTCCCTCACCTACAACACCCTTATCCTATCTGTCCTCCCTTACCTTCGCAACCTCATCCTACCTTACCATTATCAGATATGCCCCTCTCACCCCCCTTACCTCACTTACCTATACCTCTTATCACAACAAAACTCCCTAACCGATGTTCCCTCATTCCATCCTAACTCCCTCACCTACACTCTGCTCATCCTACCTTACCACTACACCCTTTCTTAACTACCCTACCGACACCCCCTAACCCGCCTTAACCTCCCTCACCCCTTTATCCCAATTTATGTCCTTCACATACACCCACACTTATTGTACCTTAAGTTCCTTAACTACAGCCCCCCTTATCCCACCTGACCTCCCTTACTTACACCCCTAATCCCACCATACCTTCCTTACCCACACCTACCTTATCCCACCTCACCTTTCTTACCACCTGACCTACCCTTTCAGACACCCTCTTCATCCTTTCTAACTTACCTAAGGTAGGTACATCCCACCCATCTTACCGTACATCCCATACCTACCCAACCTCACTCATTTACACGCCGTCAGATTTTTCATCTGATTTTTCTTTTTTTTACAAAGTTGTGAAAAATATATATATACTGTAGATATCCACAGTATACTACATATTGTAAATATACTGTAGGCTACTGCTCTTCACGCCAACATGAAGACTGACTGATCAAAAGAAAGAAGAGCCTTACCATCACTTCAAAAAGATGAAAACATCATCCTGCTTGCAGATAAAGAGAGATGCATTGTTGTACTCAACACCAGGGATTATCATGACAAGGTAACAACCCTTCTCAGTGACGCTGCCACCTCTGAAACTCTAAAACGGGATCCAACCAACAGCTACAAAAAGAAAGTTATCAGCGTACTTCAACAGCTGGAAAAGGATGGAGTTTTCGACTGCCCACTCTATTACCGGCTATACCAAGGGGAAGCAGTCCCGTGCATTTAAGAATTACCTAAAATACACAAGGAAGGGGCCCCCCTTAGACCCATCATCAGCAGCATCAACTCAGTCACATACAAAGTGGTAATTCATTTGGCCACCATCCTAGCTCCTCTTGTCGGCCACACCACTCACCACGTCAAAAACTCACAGGACTTTGCAGAGAAAATCAAGGACATCAGGCTGGACCCAGATGAAACCATGGTTTCCTACGATGTCACATCACTTTTCACAAGTTTTCCGACAACAGAGGCAGTCCAAGCAGTAAGACAACGCCTCTTACAGGAGAGCACACCGGAGGTCAGAACCAACCTAACCCCCGACCACATCTGCTCCTTATTGGACATCTGCCTCAGCACCACCCATTTCCAGTTCAGAGAGCGCCATTACAGACAGAAATATGGATGTGCTATGGGCTCCCCGGTTTCTCCAATAGTGGCAAACCTGTACATGGAAGAGGTAGAGAGGAAGGCCCTAACCTCCTTCAAAGGAACAGCACCTAGCCACTGGTTCAGATATGTGGATGACACCTGGGTTAAGATCAAAACACATGAAGTAGAGTCCAGTTGCCTGATTTTGGAGTCTTCAAGAAGGCTGATCAAACTCGGACCAGTAAAGTGTTTTCAACACTCTGCGTCTTAACTCATGTTACATTTCCGGTCTGGTCTCATCTGGATACATGCAGCTGTCTAGTAAGAGAAGTAGCTTGATCATGTAATGTGTACTGTTGTTTATTCTACCGTTACTGGCACAGCTAACAGTGTAGCAAGGCTTATAGCAGCTAACTCTAACTTTAGCTTGCATATTACATGGTGCTACACAGTTAACTCTGCATGACCGAGACCAGCACAGTGGGGAATATCGTGAAGTGGGATGAACTGAAACTTGTTGATTTATTGTGTACTTCGCAAATGGTTTATTTACCGATGAGGCGCACCATTCTTCTCTGTGCTTCCCTGAGCTGCTGCTTCAGATCCATCACTCTGCTGCGCTGTAGGGTGCCAACCCCTCCTTATCTACACCCCCCTCATTCCACCTTAACTGCCTTACCTACACCACCCTCATCTTACCTAAACCTCCTTAACCTCCTTAACCTCCACACCCTCACCCTACCTTGCCTCCCTCATCTACACCCCCACATTGCACCTTACCTGCCTTACGTAGACCCCCTCATCCCACCTTACCTTGCTTACCTACAACCCCTCATCCAACCTTACCTCCCTTACTGACAGCCCCTAACCCTAAACCAACTCATCACATTATATCTCTCTTACTTACACCCCTTCACCACATCTTACCTTTCTTATCTACATCCCTTCACCCTTAATTACCAGCCTTATCTATACCCCCTCATTCCACCTTACTTCTTTTACATACACCTCCTCATCCTACGTGACCTCCTTCACCTACACCCCTCGTCGAACCCCTTAACTCTGTCACCTACACTCTCTGGTCCCACTTTACTTCCCTTACCCATACCTAATCATCCCTCCTTACCTCCCCCTCGTCCTACCGTATCTCCCTTACCTACACACTCTCATCCCAACTTCATCCTCCATCACCTTCAACCCCTCCATTCTACATTACCTTCCTCACCTCCCTCACTTTCACCACTTCACCCCATATAACCTCCCTTACCTACACCTCCCTCATCCTAATTTACCTCCCTTACCTTCACCCCCTCTTCACACCTTGTCTCCCTCACCTACACTCCCATCATCATACCTTACCTTCCTTACCTACACTCCCTCATCCTACCATACTTCCCTTTCCCACACTCACTCATCCTGCTGTCCCTCCTTTCCTACCTTACCTCTCTCACCTACTTCCCCTAACCCTACCTGATCTCCCTACCTAAACCACCACATCACAATATTTCTCCCTCACCTGCACCCATTTATGACATCTTACTTTTCTTACCTACGCCCCCTCACCATTACTTACCATACTTATCTATTCCCCCTCATCCTACATGACCTCCTTTACCTGCACCCCTAAACCTACCTTAACTAACCCACCTACAACCCCCCAATCCTACCTTACTTCCCTTACCCACACCTTATCATCCTTTCTTACCTCCATTACTGACATCCGCTCTTTACACCTTATCTCCCTCACCTACACCCCCCTCATCCCGCCCTATCTCCCTGACCTAAACTTCCTTATCGAGTCTTACCTCCCTTGCTTACACCACTTAATCCTACATTACCTTCCTTACCTACACCCCCTCTTCACACCTTATTTCCCTCATCTTCAGTCCCCTCATCCTACCTTATCTTCCTTACTTACACCCCCTCAACCTGCCTTACCTCTCTCACCTACACCACTTCATCCCACCTTATCTTTCTCACCTACACCTCATCATCCTACCTTACCTCCCTTACCTACACCCCCCCATCTGCCTTGCCTTCCTCACCTATACCCCCTCATCCCAACTTAACTCCCTTACCTACATTCCCTCACCCTACCTTACCTCCACCCTCTCATCTCATCTCAACCCCCCCCCACACACACACACACACACTTCCTAGCTTACCTTCATTACCTACATTACCTGCCTAACCCTACTTTTGTTAACCACTGCACTCGCCCATATTTGATGAGAATTTAAAAAATAACCACTTGGGAATTTTCTTCAGTTAAAATGAATTGACCTGAAATGAAGTCAAATAAACATGAATGATTTTAACAGTTTTTGTTTAGATTTCTTGAAAGGTTGTTAATTATATACTGTACTTTTCCACAACAACAAGATGTTCTGGCATGGAAACAAAAAGACAATAGCTGTTTCCCAACCCCATGAAATATGGGTCAAACTACAAAATAAAAATCAATCAAATGTTGATTTCTTCTTAACAATATTTTTCTTGTTTTTTAGTTTGTTATTATTCCTCTGGTTTAAGTGTTGATGTTTCTGTGAAGTGAAGTTTTAAGAAGGTATCATATACACTGATGAACAGCTCTGTTGACAAACAGGTATAACTGCACAAATCAACACAAAATCTGTTCTGCTGTGGACTACTCAGAACTGAGGAATCTACACAGGTCAGTTAAATGCATGTTTTGGTTAGTTGAAAGGGTGTGATGCCAGTTCTGCATTTAAATGCCATTTGAGCATTTAAGACTTAACTAGTGCAGGACACTGATGTCTGATATCTATGATCTCAAATAAACCACCTCTGCACTTGGGCACACAGTTCTTTGGGAGCCATCCTCCTCTGGTCAGCAGCCTGCCTGCTCCACTCCAAACAGGGAGCCCCCCTTGACCGACGTGGTTGTCCATGGACGAAAGAGGGCTCCAAGTGGGATTCAAGGCGGAGCTCTGTCCGTGAGTGAGAAGCGTGCGGCCCAGGATCCGCACCAGGAGACACCAACTGTCTTAGAGACACCAAGACCGAGCGGGCGCTCCTACAACTCTGGTCATTGGTGACTCAGTTGTGAGGCATGTCTGCATAAGGGGGGTTGTTCACCATGGCATCTCTCGGAGTTCAGTTAGAGCCACTGTTTTGAACATCACAGGGAAAATACCTGACATCCTGAGCTCACATCCGCAGGCAAAAAGGGTTATCATCCATGCAGGTGCAAACGATATCGCCAGGCAACAGTCTGAACTTTTAAAGCAAGACTTCATCCACTTTTTTAACTCTCTTACAGTCCCAGGTGACCCACTCTCCGGCCCCACCCCCACCTGCGGCAGTGGGATAGGCAGCTTCAGCAGGCTGCTCAGCCTCAATACCTGGCTCTCCTCTGCCTGCAGCTCACATTATGTGGGCTTCGTCAGCAACTTTGACGTGTTCTTGGAGAGACGACATCTCTTTGGGTCAGACAGGCTCCACCTGAACAGAGTAGGCGCCTGCATGCTATCCGCTAACCTGGCACACGGCGTACAGCATGCCAATCTTCCCATACCCGCACCTATCCATTCAGTTCCACCTCTGACCACCATACACACAACACCGGACTTGGACTACATATTCACACCAACACATCACCCATTCCCGTAATTACTACACTTCATCACCACATCAGACACTGCCATACCCATTCTGTGAACGTTCACAATCTTAAACCATTAAAAAAAGAACAATCTCAACTCAACTCAACTTAAGTTTATAGAGCACTTTAAATACAACCAAAGCTGACACAAAGTGCTGTACATAACATAAAATATAAAACAACAATAAATAGTGAAAAAAAAAAAGTCAACAAGTCACCTGTCACTCTCCACATGGCACATTTTGATGTTTGTTCTCTTTTAAATAGACCTTTTTGAATCAATGATGTGATTTTAGATAACAAGTTAGACTCTTCTTTGATCAAGACATGGCTTGGCACTGATTAAATTAAATTAATTTTTTTTATTTTCTACTAGAGAGAGTAGAAGAAGAGGCGGGACAGCATCCATCACAAATAACTCACTGACCTAAAATGGAGTGTTTTTTAACAGCTACATATCATTTGAACACTTTGCCTTTACTTTTCGCAGCCCTCCAATTCTTGGCATTACAGTATATAGACCACCCCATCACTCTAGCTCTTTTATCAGTGAATTTTCTGAACTTTTATCGATTATCCACACCTCTTATAACAGGATTTTAAGAACTGGTTTTAAACTACATGTTGATGATACCTCGGATTTGATATCCAAAAAGTTTTTGAATCTTTTAATTTGTCCTGATTTTAAGGAGCATGTCACACAGCCCACTCACAACATAGGACACACCCTGGACATAACCCATGGCCTGTCCATGGGTGTGTCCTCTGTTGTCAGCTTGGCTATGTCTGACCACTGATGGGAGCTAATGTAAGCCCATTCACAAATAAGCTATCATTAACTGATTAAAAGGGTTGGATTCAAGTCATATTCTGAGTTCGTTTTGAATGGTGCTCTTGCATTTAATGAGCGTAGTTATGGCACAATATATTTCATTACATTTTCATTAAGGGAAAATGCCAACATTCAATTGAAAAGCCTTGTTATTGTACAGCTCTAACAGTTAATGAACCCGACATGCTTGTGCTTAGGTGTGAATTTAACCTCGTACTTTGATTTTGAAAAAGACCTCTTAAAACCCTGAATCAAAACATGACATGCCTCCAAGCACAAGCGTGAGACACTCTCAACTGTCAGTTTCTTATGTCCTCCTTTGATTGCATCATTCATGTGTGCTTGACTTTTAATTAGAATATCTCCCACAGCACTTGAAGGCATCGTAACAGCTGGAAATGTAAGTGGCTCGATTATGCTCCTGCACACTCATATCAGCCAAACCGACACTTGTTAGCCTCATGTCCCACAGACTGCTACTAAACAAGCAAACCATTTCTTGACATTTGGTGGCATCTGCGTACAGCCTGTCATTATTTATTTAATTTCCTGAATTCACTGCAAATTTATTCTGCCATTTTCTGCGCCCACTTATTAGTTAGACTCAGTTTTAATTAACGCAGCACACAATCAGGCTGTTACTGCAGTGACCGCCGGTTCATGTGAGACGGGGTAAACCAAAGTTGAGGTGACAAGGTGAGAGAGATGGATCAGTGATGCTTCTTTGTTTTCTATTTTTAATTTTCTTTGATTGCACTTATTTACCACCACACACACACACACACACACACACACACACACACACACACACACACACACACACACACACACACACACACACACACACACACAGTCAGGTTCACACACACACAAACAAAATTAGAGTATAATTAAAACCCAGTAAAACAGGAGCTGAATAAGCTCATACTACAAACTAATTAAAAAGTACAGATGCTACCCTTTAATATGCAAAACTGACAACAGCAGACTTAACTTGAGTAAACAGTTTGCTCACACCTTCAGGTGTTTGTGACACATGTTTTAACAATCAGGGAAACAAATTATCATGACATCAAACATTAAAAACAATGAACATTAAACTTTTTTTAGTTTTTTTTAGGTGCACTTTTATACCAGATTGGTAAACTTCTTTACATAAAATGGTTTCAAACATCACTTTTTATTGAGCTCCAGCTCTGGCCAGGGTTCCTAACTTTTTTCGCTTGTATCTTTTTTTTCTTCACAAAAGGGCAAAAGTAACACCTTACCAAGTCTGCGCTGGACTTTCCTTCCAGGTTTGGTCTCTAACACCTGGAGCTGACCCCACCATAACACTGTGGTTTTCAGTAACCCCTGTTCTCAGAGTTAGCAGTCTGAGCGCCAACAAAAAAAGAAACGACCAAGTTTGTTGTTTGGATCATAACAGAGAATTGAGGCAAAGAAACCTGTTAAGTCAAGATCAGAGAAAATTTTCTTCATCATACTGAAAATCAAGTATCGAGGTTACTGCAAGCCTTTCAAAAATACTCCAAGAGAAATCAGACCCAACGGCAGACACTGTGCCTCTGCAAGTGCAGGAGGGAAAATATGATTTTAAGATTCCAAACACTGATTGGCTTCATTTTTACCCTTTTTCACACAAAAATAAGGAATTTTTTCATTTCCTTTCCATTGTCAATGTCATAACAAGAACTGTCCCAGAGCAACTACTTTCCTGGATGCCAAAACAGAAACTTGAATTCTGACCAAGTACTAAAAATTGAGCAAAATATTTAAAATACAGCTAAACACAAGGTTCAAAGATTTTGGAGGTTAACAATGTCAAATTGATTTTAGTGTGGTAAAGCTAGCACAGGGTTATTGTCCACATGTCATTATAAACCTCCTCTCTCTGGTCAAGTGGCATAAGATGCATATTCAACCAGCCTATGCACAGCTGTATCTACATTTCTTGGATCACAATACTGCCAAATAATGTTGTGCTACCATAATAATAATATGATAATAAACTTTGTTTGTATAGCACCTTTCTAGAACAGTTGTCAGAAAGTGCTTCACAGTCATCAAATTAAAAAGGGTGAGACAGCAAGACATAAAAATCAACAAAAAGTACACTAGTAGCGAAAGTCCTGGTCATACAAAGGCAAGTGTAAACAAATGAGTTTTCAACCGCTTTTTGAAAGTGTCCACAGTGTCCACAGTCCTTAGTTCGAGGGAGAGAGTTCCAAAGTTTTGGAGCAAAAAACTCAAATGTACCCTTTAGTTCGTAGTCTGTTCCGGGGGACAACCAATAAACCCTGATCAGAGGATCTTAGAGTCCTGCTGGAGCTATAAGGCTTCAGCAGGACTCTGTTATACGCTGGAGCTTGTCCATGCAAAGCTCTGAACACAAGAATAAGTCATTTAAATTGGATTCTGAATTGAATAGGGGGCCAGTGTACAGACTTACTATGCACTATTTGTCAACCATGCTTGTTTACATGCAGGTAGTAGAGCATTGTAGTATTATGGCAAAAACCATTAAGCAGATAGTGGTGCAGCTTAGACAAAACATTTGATAAACACGGTATGCGGACCCACATTAATAACCAATGCACTACAAACCAATAACTACCAATGCACATCCCTGGTCAATCATTTCCAAAGTGAAAGATGTGCCCAGAACCATGTGAAAATTTCAAAATATAAGGGTTTTTTTGCCTTTAAGATTTTCTTTTTTAAGAAAAAAATCACCATTACAAAATTTGTAGTGTTTTTCTGTCTCTGTCCAATCCAAGCATCTCATCCGACATTGGGGAGGTTTAACAGTTCATCATAAAGTGTATCACATGATTTGTTTGTTTCTATGTAGTTAGACACAATTGGCATCCGATCCATGTGTATGTGAACAGGTGTCATTCTGTGTGTAGGTAAATGTATGTGTGTTTTATTGATTAATTTAAAAAATAGAAGAGCACAGTAAAGGATTCAGGAGTCCGTTGATCTGTTTGAAAGCCCCCCCCCCTTCCCATTTAACTAATTGTGGCTGCAGGGTGTGTTTGTTTTGTTTTCGCTGACCTCCCCGAGTGCATACAGATGGTGCCGTAAACAAAATGTTGCCAGCAGGGATCACATCAGCCAGTTTAAAAGCAAGATTTCAATTTGCCCTTTTCTCTTTTGAATATATTTTTATACCTGAATTATGAAGGTGAGCAGCTTAGACCCAGCAACAAGCTCCTTCAGGATGAATTTGATTTTGATTGATTTTCTTTGGAAAAACAAACAAGTGGCAGAATATCAGTGTTTGAGATCATTTATATAGGTGCATCTCAATAAATTAAAGTATCATTAAAAACTTACCTTTTTGTGGTTTGGCTAATAATGCAAATTTTTAGTGCTAATGAACTAAAGAAAAAATAACAGGTCACACACAAACAAACTCCAACTCACCTTTGCTGTGCACTAATACAGACGTCACACTAAACTGATCTGAAGCCACAAGTGTTTACTTCTTTCCTCTGTTGTCAATCTGTCTTCCATCACATGCTTGGTATGTCTTTCTTCTTATGTTTTTTCATTTGAATCTCTCATCAAAATACACTTTTCTTTTTCAATAATGTCACCTGAGTGCAGAGTTTTTCGCCCTCTGTCTCACTGTCTGTGTGCAAAAGCATGAGGGTGTGCAGATGTGCAGTCAGATGTGTACTGTGGTTAATATTTAAAAATGTCCTCAGGGCTCGGTAAAGCAATGAGACTTACTCTGTCCCTTGGAGGATTTTGTATATTAATGTAAAGTAGCAGCAAGGAGTGGGAGAGATATGAGCAAATATGAATTAACAAGAAAATGCTGCTTTCTTTAAAACTGTATTGGATGGTGAATTATTCCCTGCTGTGTTTCACTACAATTGAGTCATTTTCTTGTAATCTTACTTGGAGGTGCCTTCAATATTTGCCTTATTTGCTGCAGACTAATAAAAGAAAAGCACCGTGTTCAGGTTTAGATCTAGTTCGCTGTTCTCAGAGATGAACCACCAGCTGTTAGCATGACATCATATGAAGTGACAGGTAGCTCACTGATTGGACATTTATGGTAACTGTCATCCTGCATTATCAGCTTGAAGTTGACGCACAGATTCATAGCCTTCAGTGTTGGTCAAGCTCATCAAGACTTAAACAACGTTGACTTAAGTGAGTCCA